GCGTGGTGTCTGAGGTGCTGGGTTGTCGACGTGGGTGGGTGGGGCGGACTTCCGGGGAACATGCCACCCGGGCAGAATTTCTGCATCAGTGGGACGCCGATGGCGGGGCACAAATTCCCAGGCGATGGGTGCACTGTATTTGTGGTACCTTGGTGGTCTGGTTCACTGATACCAGTGATGTGACTGGCCAGTCTTAGGATACCGCCGGTATCGTAAGGGCAGGCCAATCGGAGAGACGATTCACCCTTAGGATACCGTCAGTATCATAAGGCTAGGCCAATCAGAGGGACCGTAGTGCACGAGCGGAAAGTACCTACCCTGGTGATCTGGCGGAAAAGAAAGCCAGAACGCTCCAGTGACGCAGTGTTCTGGCGAAAGGTCGCCATTACCTTTGGTGGTCTGGCGGAGGCCAGCACTTGATGATTGCTGTCAGCGGCACCAAGCAAGAGACACAGTGCACAGACTTCACGTCGCCTTTCGTCTCGGCGAACTTCATCACCAACACCCATCTTTTCGCGACTTTGCCGCAGCTGCACAGAGAAAGCCTGAGGATCATTCCAAGCCCGATCCTTCATGCGAAAGCATCGTCCAAGCCCATTCGGTCTTCCTAAGGTCCACTTCGGATTACCTCTTCGAAGCTTCACAGGCCGGAAAAGGTGGGCCGCTGTTGGACGCATGTGCACCCCAGAATGCTTCCCTTCCCATGTTCAACTTCTTCGAATTGGGACCTGCCCTGGGCCCTACTTCTCCTGCCCAATGTCGCTTGTGATTCCCACAAGCCACTGCTATCCTTCCCGATGTCGCTTACGATTTCTGCATGTGACCGCTCAACATGGTGTTTGTGACTGCTCTACACCATGTTCGCATCTGCCAGCGGAAGGCAGCGACACAGCGGACCTGCCCCCTCAACCTGGGTATCGGCCGGTGCTGCGAACCATGTCTACCTTTCCATCCCTCCATCCATCTCCCATCCATCCACCCTGATTTCCATCAATTCTTGTCCATCCAAATCCATGTCGCCGCCTACTGGCACACCCTTTTGACTGCCGCATGACCCCGACGGGGAAACATGTGAGGGCCAGGATGGCTCGCAGAGAAACCTCTATGGCCAATCTTTGGGGTATTTGAAGGTGGCGCCGCCTTTTCCTCGCAGGGTTCAGCCGCAGCCTGCCTCGCACATTATTGAACGCCTACTTTGGCACTCAGCCTTTGATTACCGCTGACCTGGTCCCCAAGTCCGTCTTTGTCGTCAGCGAAGACCGCGTACGCGACATTTTCCTCGCAGGATCCATGTAGCCGTAATCCCAGAGCTCCCAGTTTCAACCTCGTCACCTCAAACGACTGCTTTGTCGCTTTGATTACTGCTGACCTGGTCCCCAAGTCGAACTTCATCTTCAGCGAAGACAGTACACTTGCGGGGGGCAGCTCCCTCTCCCACACCACCATTGCTCGGCAGCAAATTTCAGCTTTAGCTTTCAATTTCCCATGCAACAGGTGCCATGGAATTCTTTTAATCGGTACGTGGTTGCAGCGTAGATTCCATAGCCTCTTTTTCGTCTAACAACCAAATACAGGCCACGCGGCTACCTTGTACTCAGACGACAAACCACTCGCGTTTAGCGGCGAGAGCGAGCCTTGAGCGTATCTTTCAGACCTGGGTCTGTTTGATTAGACAGCAGCGGCTTGGGATACAACCGCAGGTGACGGGCCCGTTCCAGGAGGACGACCATTGGATGAATCTTTCAGACCTGATAATGTTCGACTTGAAGACGGCACATTGGACACAGCCGCAGGTGATGGGCTGCATTTGGCGGCGAGAACAAGCATTGGGCGTATCGTTCAGACCTGATGATTTTCGAATTGGGACCGCACACGCGCACAGCCGAAGGTGACGGGTCCCGGCTGAAAGGACGAGCAAGGCTTACCGCTGTTCTCCACGAAGTATTCAACACTTGACACCATCTCTTGGGTCGTTGACCCTAACTTCCCGCGCCGCATGGTCGGCGTGGTGGGAGACGTCATCACGCCCAGTCAACAAGGTGCGCCTCCAGGCGGCAAACTGCGAAGGAAAATTTAGAAGGGAAGAAGAATACCCCACCCGCCCTACTGCAAACACTACCCAAATCTGCAAGCCGCCATCGTTGTGGAGAAGGAGGCGGCGCCTGAGGTCTCCAAGCTGGCTCGTCCTGCCTCATCGGCTCAGCCAGCTCAGCAGAAGCTGTCAGTCTCCGCTCGGGGCCCTGGTAGAGAAGAAGGTTAGATTGCCCGTCTTCACGGATGTATCAGATCTTGCTGGCAAGGCCAGCCGGATGAACAGGTGGGCTGGGCATGGCTGGGTGGGTGAAATTACCAGATTACCAGATTACCATATGGTAATCGGTGACTAAGCACCGGTCGGCAACATTGACGGCGCCCAGATGGATAACAACGTCTGGGAATCCGCTCGGTATCCCCCAAGTTCACCTGTCTGGACGCACCGTGTAACAAGCACGCGCCATACGTCGGCGCATTCCGGCACGGATTCGATCAGGAAAAGGCAAGAGAGAGGAGAGAATAGAGGTAGAGGCTAGCTCGCATGACAGGTTTCGCGCATCCTTTTGGCCAAGCATACGGAGTGATAAATAGCGTGGAACAATCATTTATTTGTCAAATGTGCTCCTTCCTGTGATTGCTGCTTCATTTCATTTGTTCTTCGCGTTGCCATCGAGTTTTGCTACCCTGTGCCCCCTATAACTTCAATTGTAGCGCACTCCATATTTTGGTCCGATGATAGACAACGACGACAATTATATTGACAACAACGATAGTGATGAAAACGACAGGAATGAGGACGACGACAGGAATGAGGACGACGACAGGAACGAGGACGACGACAGAAACGAGGACGACGACAAGGGCGACGATAGCAGGCGGACAAAAAGTTCAGTCGCCTTAATACAGGAAATCAAGGGGATCTTGGTAGGATTTACGGGTTATATGCGTGTAGCAGACACTGCCTGGATGGCAAATCTCTTTTCATCAGCCCTTAGTCCTCCACATTGCCCTTTTCAATCTTCTCTAGAGGACTCTTAGCCATTCCTGACCAGACAGCGAATTGACGCGTTGGCGTAGCCCGCTGGTCAAAACGGTCTGTCAGGGTATGGGGCCTTCACCGTCTGGCCGGTCGCCCTACGAGTCTTGTGGAGAGTAATGCCATCGTTTCAATCTCTTCACGGTTGTCGGTCCCTTCATAAACGCGTCGATATTGCACCCTCGGCTTGGAGGCGGGATCTCCTTCGTGTTCAAGTAATCTCAATGCCCAGCCCAGTCTCCATGAACCTTTCCATGGGGGTTGAAATCACTGGTGAGTGGAAATGATTTTGATATCTTGGTCAGTTTTCTGTATTCAGATGCAGATGCAATTAGAGGTGGAGGCGGAGGGATTGAAGCTGCGTGAAGTGGCTTGAAGTGGCTTGATTCCTGTGCGAGGGCCGGGCGCGCCTGGCTGCAAAGTGGGGACTCGGGCCGGCATTTGGGCCTCGGGCCCGGCGCCGGATTCAGTGATGCTCTTGTCGTCTCCTCTCCCTCCCCAGAGGCTTCACGGCAAGACCTAATGTGACGGACACCTTCATGGACATGTGCTGACTCAGATGTCCATGTTGACTGCACCCCACAGATTTGCAATACCCAAACCTCGTTGACTTAAAGGCCACCAACTGACAAGTTCATGCGCTCAAAGTATGCGAACAAGCCGGCTGCTCAGCCTGAGCAAAACACGGCGTGATTTCGGCAAATGCGTTCAGGAATCGCCGCATGCCACCCAGGACGGCTGAGCAGTCCAGATCTTCAACATCGCAGTCGACCAACTCCAGCGCGGCGACACATTCATCTGGCTGCGCATGCGGTCCAAGACGTATCCTCCGCCAACATCGGCCTCGCCCTCTCTATCTACTTTCATCAGATGATGACCGGGGCGCACCGCAGGATACGTCGTCGCTAATTGCGAGTCCCGCTTTCAACTCTAGGTAATTTCAGTGACACAGGCCTAGCTATATTCACGCGCATGCCCGAGCATTCCTTTTCATCCGTCTCCGGCTTCGATCAACGTGGTTTGGGATTCGAGGTCTTGGATGAGATTGGTCGACGCAGAGCAACTGAATGCTCAAAATCAAGCAAACAGAAAGCATCTTATGTATTCCCAAGTTGATGTGAAGTCAGCAGACCGGTCGGAACCAGGTCGTCTAGCAGCACCGGCAACGTGAAGCTCCTCGAGGGTGTAGCTGTCAGCTGGCCACAGCTCGGCCGGAGATCGTATTCCCAATAGCAACAAGTCCTGGTTGCCCCGCATGAAGACAGGAAACCACAACTCTCCAGCTTGCGTCTCCGCCACGCTGAGGGCAAATAGTAACAATCCGGCTGAGACAGACAGCTGGGCTGAAACTACGGCTCTGAAGTGTATACAACACTCGCTTGCCATGAGAATTGGCCCGGAGCCAAGGCCATGTCAGCTGGAAAGAGACGAGTCAAGAGCGTCTGCGTCAAGGACCAGGAAGAGGCCGCGCTGTCCATCTGGCTGACGGACGAGCTCTGGCTCGGGGAGAGCGACATCTTCGCCTGCCTCGCTGCCATGCTTCGCTCAGGGATTGCTGAATGAGGCGCCTTCGATCTTGACAGCGGTGGCTTGAAGCTGCGGTGCGGGTGCCGACAAAACGACTCCTAACGAGAGGATACTTTGCTCGACTAAGCAGGGCGGCCGCACAGAGGCAAGAGCAAGGCGGTATGGAGAATCACAGTGAGATCAATGTCTGTTTCAAGCCAGGTTCGAATTCCATGACGCCAAGTAATGCCTACGGGGGTATCATCCACATGTCCATGAACCAACAACGCCACATTGCTCCCAGAAGACCTTGGCTGCTCCAAAGAAAAACCAAAACACAAACGGAAACACCGAACCACAGCCAGAGAGTCAGGTCCGCTCGACGGCCTGAACCAGCCTGGCAACAGGACGAACTCTTCGTGACCTACCCGGACCGCGAAGAAGACGGAGACCCACCGTCATCTCCACAATCGCTTGCTGTCTCCGACCCCTCATCCTTGGGGAAAAGCTCCTCCGAAGGCGCAGCTTGGTGGGAGGCGAAGCGGAAGCGAAGCCACGAAATCACTTGCAGCCAATCGCCGTGGCCAGCTTCGGATGTGATCTTGTCCAGAGAAAGAGTGTCCCTCGTCGTGATGTACAAATTGGGACCGTCGGGACCGTCATGATCGTTTGGATCGATTCGCATCTGGAGAACTCGGAGCGTGGTGGTTGTGAACATGAGGAGGGTGGCCTACGATGTGAGGAAAGAGCAAGTTAGCACACGCTCAAACAGAAACACTGAGGAATCCAGGGAGAAAGGATCAGGACAGAGGGTAGAGAGAGTCCTGCGGAGATGACCTTACCGCGATGGGTGTATTGACAGGCTTGCCGCTCATTGCGTGGCAGACGAGGGTGACCAGGCAGAGAAGCTCGCTTCGTCTGTATGGAAGATGTGCAGGGAGCGAATCGCAGGAGTCGTCGAAGGCAATGCAGCCGACGGATCTGCAGCCGTTGGGGCCTTCACCTTTCGCCCGAAGCAAGGCCGTCGCCTTCCAACGCCAAGTCTGGTAATCTGGATACGCCTCTCCCTTGGCGAGCAATCGCTCCATCGGGTTATCCCAATTGAGGGGGCTTGGACGGGCGGACGAGTCTGGGGGAGGTTTTGCAGCCGGCTGGGGGATGTCGGCAGTTGGTCGCGCCAGGAGGGTTGCCATCTCGGAGAAATGCGCGGCCCATTCGAGGGCGGTGCGGTTTGCTTCCCAAGGCAGCTTCTGGGGGGGACGCAGGGCTGGATTGTGGTCGGCAGTGCTGCGGTCGAGATAGGGAGATGGAACGGAGGACGCATGTGGTAGCCACCGTGGATGGTCGTGGTTCTTTGTCGTGTAGACTCCGAGTTTCTCTAGCATGGGGTTGGTGAAGATGGAGTCGTCGTAGCGTTGGATGGCGACAAGTGCTGCGCAGACCTTGCTAGCACAGCGGTTGCTGGCAGAGACATCAGTTGGATTGCTGCTGCTGCCGCTGTCGCTGGCGGAAACAATGCTCATGGTGAGCGGCTGTGCCTGAATGCAGGCAGGAGTCGAGGAAGATGGATGTGAAAGGGAGGGCGCAAGATTGATGCTTGGTGATTGACTGATTGTGGTGGTAGCAAGTGGTTTGTAGGCTTTGCTTTGAGAGTGGCACAGACGCGCTTTGTTTACTTGGAACCAAAAGCACAGACCTAGCAGCATCACACCAGGTAACCAGTGTCACCTGGTCACGTGGCTAATGCTGGCACCACCTTAGTCATCTGGTGGAGCACTCCAGGCGCAGCAGCTGAGTCAGAGGCTCCTAGCTTATGTAACCAGGTTTCTACCGTTCGTGGCCCGTGCGTCCACCCCGATTGATCGTGATCCCTCAAACGGTGGTGGATCAATTCAGTCCTATTCAGTCCTCAACTTCTCCGAAGCTGATCACGCTTCATGCCTCCGGTTCCTCGTGACTTGACAGCATGGAAAGCCCAGGTCATTCAGCAGGGCATCGGCAACAAGACACTCGGCGAAATTCAGCCTACATCAGGCTTCAAGATACCCCACAGCGCGTTTCTCCAACTGCGTGCTGTTTGGCTGCCCGACAAGCTCGCCTCGGAAGCGACCAAGAACCTCTATGAGACCGGCCTCATCGGAGACTTCACGGAATTGATCAATAAAGTTGTAACACACGGGTTCAGTCAAGCGGACACGTTTCATAACTTTCTCGACGACATCTGTGGCTCGAGCAACATAACCCCAGCCCCGCAATCCGATGAATCCCTTGTGAATGCCCCTGCGATCGAGCCGAAGTTCAGTAGCTTCGTCGTACCCTTGGGTCAGTGGAAGCTGCTTAAGCCTACTGCGCCGGAACGGGTGGTGCCAGGCACGCCGCCTCATAATGCCATCAAAAACAAAGGCGCCCTGCCGCTCGACTATGATAAACCTCCACTCTCGCCTTCATTCTCTAGAGAGCTGGACTTAGGTATTGTAGACATCACCAGCTTACTCATGTCACAGCAACTCGAAACGCCCTCAAAGGTCCGCGTCAAGGAGAGCCCCGCAACGCCGCTTGAAGAATCACAAGCAGACTGTGCGAGCGCCTCCCCGACCCGTTCGCCCCCTGAATCCCCGGCCTTTTCTTCTGGCGGGGAGAGTGAGGCTGAGCCCATTGCGCAGGTGGCCGGTCGTCCGGAATCATCGTCAACAATATCTCTTCGGAAACCCCGCACAAAGTACGAAGTACAAACGTCCAACTTCTTCTCCAGCTTCTTCTACGCCTTCTTTCCACACTATCTTACCTTTGTGTGGACTCGGTACCTGGAAGTCGTCACCGAGGAAGCCAGTTATCGCTTTGGCGGCAAACGCCCGGTTTCATCTGGCACCGCTCCATCTCCTCCCCCAATTTTTATCGCCCGCACCGACGGGGCCTTCTACGAAGTCGGCGATGACGGTTTTCGGAACAAAAGGGGCTTCCTGCCCTTTGAGTTAAAGCCATATTGTCGGGCTGAAAAGTTGGCCGCCACATGCCGAGAGGAGACGGCTGAGATGGCTGCCATCATCTACGAGGAGTTTGTAATGGACAACCAGCAGTGAGTGCCCGGGGATGTTTTCCGTGGATGGCTGGCCGTGTGCGTTTTCACTAACGGCGAAAAAGTCCACCGTCTGACGAGCAAGAAGCCCTCGACAAAACACATCATCGGTTTATGCTTTCGCTGAACCGGGATGAATTCTACATCACGGTCGCAACCTTTACTGGCCATTACATATCATACATCAGCAGCACTTCCACGCCGTCAAATCCATCGAATCTTGAAGCGAAGCATCTCATCTCCTTCCAGCCTCATGGGCCATTCAGTCTGCTGGTCAGGAATCATATGACAATTTTTAGGGAGATCATGCTTTCCATGGCTATGAAGAAGATCAATCATCGAGGCTCAAAGGGTCAAATAGTGCTTAATGCTTTACAAAGTCGCCGTTGATGGCGTTGTCTGGTGCCCTGAAGGCCTGTGTCATTGCCGAACATTCAATACGCGCCATCGAGAAATGGTTGACTCGGTTGGCAATGAACCTGCTATCTTCTAAGAGACGTGGTACAGTAGAAGGAAACCTGGAAGTTGGCAGGAAAATGCACACCATACTTACTAATGCACTCTATCAACGAGAAGGGGATTGATTCTTTGTGTCAGGGACGCATTTCCCTCAGTGTAGATCTCAATTGCAGCTCAACTTGCAACTTTCGCGGAAGGCGCTACTGCTGACCTCGCCCAGCACTCTCACAAGCTAGTGAACAGGTCGCCGGGCAGATCGACTCTTTTTATGCCGTAAATATCCACGGAAATGAGCTGTTTGAGGTATTTACCCTCTCCACCCTCGTCTAACGATTTCCAGCGGCTGGCGTTTGTTGCCAGGGTTTCCCCCGACTCCGGACTTTCCTGCGTGCTACCCTTTCTCAGCGAAGCCTACACTACCACTCTATAAACCAACGAGAAGCCGTATACTGTTCTGGAATAGGGACTAAAGTTACCTGAAAGTTTAGAAGCCTTCACGTACAGTTGAACATTTTGGACCTTCTCCTATCGAGCTCATACGAACTTGGCGGGGTGACTTTCCAAGGTTCCATTCTACATACCATATTGACATCAATTTTTGCCTCGATGTCTGCTCTTGCTTGAAGCTTGCGCCTCTCGTTCGTGAACAGGCGATGCTAGACTTGCAAATGCTTTCATACCACGTACCATATAACCCATTGCACACTTTACATCAACCATGGAAGACAGGGAGAAGAAGATAGATGCCTCCAGGTCCTGCAAACCGGGGAAGAGTGCAAGATGCGGGATAGTTCGATTCGTCATCATCTCTCCTCCGGTGTCTCACTCAGCTGATTAGACGGAAGTCTTGCCTGACTAGCTGAATTTGCTTGACCTGGCAATCCTGCTTGACCTACAACATCTATCAATCAACCAAGCCAACCAGCCGACACAATTAGCTTTTCCCCGTTCTTTCTCCTCGCGTCTTTTCTCGCCAACCAGTCTCATCGGTGGTAACTGATCCTGTTTGATTACGCCAGCGGGAAGAATGTCCTGTTTTGGCTGGCTGTGAGGTCCAACGTTCTGAGAGATTGCGTCAGTGGACGATCGCTTCAGACTGTGTTCGGAGGCAATGCTGTTGCGAGAAAAATTGCTACGGTCGGTGGTTGAAGATGGTGCAGGGCGTTTTGCTTTTGCTTAGGGGGCATGACAGGGTTGTTTAGCTGCCAGAGTCGCACTGATGGAGGAGGTGCCTGGACTCATTGGTTGCCTAGACACGGTGCGTACAGGAGAACCACGATTCACGTGTTGAATAACAGTGGCTGCTCCAGAGCCTAAATCGTTTTCGTTTTGGCCGGAACGAGTCCGATAATAACCTCGGCTGATGGGAATTATATTCTCTCACGTCTGATGTGGCCCGACGCTTGGCGACTGTGGAAATGCCTGATATGGCGTAAATCTTGCTTGAGAGACATTATCGTCAGATTATGGTCAGGTTATTTACAAGATGCATGAGACTTAACCAGCATCCCCTGCAACTAATCTTCGGACCAAACATCGCTGCTTCCAAATCATTGTGTCCAAGACAAACTCGGCAAAGCTCATCTTTACAACAGCCCGACGCTGCTAATCCCACAGCCGGCTGCTCGTTTACGCCTTTAAAAGAATGCCTGCACTGGTATCTGCTGCATCTAGCTGCCAATACAAGCTAGTATAAGTAGTCTTAAGGCCTTCCTTAGCTTTCTGTCATGACTCTTTCACGGCGTTTGTTGTTGTTGTTGTTGTTGTTGTATTTAACGCCGAGGCGGCAAGGGCGCAACCGCCCTTGCGGCCGACCTCCCGAAGGGTATATGGCGTGAAGGGCCGCAGGCTCAAGCTATATACTCTAAAATACACTCCTCTTCCTAACGTCCTCCAAATCCTGCCCGTGAGCTGCTGTGTGTTCTGTCCGTCCCTAGTTCCCGCTGGTTCCCTAGTTCCGTTGTAGCCGTCAGATCCTCCATACTGAGGGGGGTGTTTTCACGGCGTTTGCCCGACTTATCAAAGGTTGACTTGCAACAAATACGCATAATGTCTTGGCAACAAGAACACCCCGTGCTCATGGCTGCCGGTAGAGAATTGGAAAGCAATGACTTATCGTGATGCGGTCTTGCTGGAGCTGGAGCTTGGGTTGTAAGTCCGTGTGAATGAAAACAGCCATCTCACACCGGGGCGTTGAAGAGAACTGAATTCTTTGTGGCCCATCGCAAATCGCCAGCGTGCTGCATTTGGCGCCGAGTCGTGTGGCTGACGTGTCAGAAGCCACAGAACGGTCATGATCAAATTGAGCTGAAAGCACAGCATACTCCTCGTGCCGAAATCTGCGCTTCCATCAATTGAAATGGCGCGGGAGATATTTCTCCAAGAATGAGATGATGGTGATGAGCCGCCATGAACCCACCAAGCCATTGCCTTGTTTCGAAGCCCCTCCACTTCAGGTTGAAGCTGAACAGGTACATCAGTATACGAGTGAAGTCCGATGACTCACTGAAGACCCACGGCAATCACATCTCCATGATAACGTTTCCTCCGCTGGCTTGCTTTCCTGCTGTTGTTTTGCCCTCCGTAAGGGGGCATTTCATCCACCCTGCAAGAGGGCAGAAAAATGAACACCTGAACTGGTTTCTCGTGGGTTTCCAAGGCTGCATTGCTCGAGGTTGGCGTTTTGCTCCTCATTCCTGATAACGGGTAGGCGTATACTTCCCTGCTGGGGAATCCTGGCTCAACAAGTCTTTCAGGAAGCTGGCAATAATTGCTGCTTGTGACAACATCACGTGAATGTGAGTGAAAGTCCGCGCCCGCGAGAATGGCTGTCTCTGAAAGTCTTGGGCGTTAGAAAGACAGTCGAGAATCCCAGAAAGTCCACATACATACATTTCTCCTCCGTCAAGGTGGGTGCACGGCAGAAGAAATAACCATGTTGCACACCTTTGGAAAAGTAAGTACCGCTGCTCAAGTGCCTCGACGGCCAGCCGACAATTGCCATCGGTCATGACAGATATTTGAAGATTTCTGGCTGGCTGTGCGGCGGGGTAGGATAGGGAATACATACAGTGAAAACGTCAAAAAGAAGACAGTGTCGACGGCGAGTGGCAGTAGCGTTGCGGACAAGGGAGACGTCCATGACAATCACAACAGAAAGCAGATCGAAGATGCTCTGGATCGTCAGAAGAATTGATACATTGCTCCATGAGGTCGGCCTATCTAGAAGTATGCACCCAGAACCTGCAGTGGCAGTTAATGTCTACCTCCTGTCCGCCGCTTCCCGTGGGCTCCTCCTCTCTCACGTCGAGGACGACCGCGGGCTCTGGTTAGACAGTCTTGATGATGGTCTCGACCTCAACCTCTGCGTTCTTGTCCTCGCTGATGACCATGTTGACTCCAGCTCCGGTGTGGCAGAGAGCGGGCGTGGGCTCGCCGAGTCGGCCTTCGCCCTGCACTTCCGAGGCAATCTGGTAGGTCTAGGGACGACCGTCTTGGTTAGGCTGGCTGGGCTGGGCGAGCTGCGGGATTTCCCTCCGCCATGCCGGCGTCAATAGCAAGACGAGCCACATCGTGCTATCTCTGTGGTCCATGGTGATGATGGAAAAGACTGGGGAAATGATGTTGAATATTGGATGTTGATGAGAAACACCGTAATCGGTGCTTGACAATCAGGATGGGAACTATCCTTGGTGGCGGACAGCAGCAAACCATGCTGGTCCTTTCGGAACGAGGCACTCGAGAAGAGGTTGTGTCCAATGGGCCGTCTTCAAGTCGAACATCATTGGGTCCAAGAGGTGGGCTTGGTTCGTGTTTTCGCCGTCAGACGCAAGCAGTTTGTCGCCTTGGTACAAGGTAGCCGTGTGGCCTGTGGTTGTGTTATTCGACATGTTCGAAATAGAGGAGGCCCAATTGCAGCAACGTACCCATACGCACACCGGATAGAAATCGTATCTGGAGATGCCGTTAAGAATGCCGGATAGTTTGTATTTGGTGATAAGGATAGGGCGATTTGCGTTGGCGTTGTTGAAGTCTTGTACGGAAAAGAAGTTGGCGGCGTTGGTGCAGAATTGACGTTGGATGATGGCGACGACATGGGTGTGGATGGGAGACCGGGGGACAAGGAATAGCGGGAGACGGACAAGTCAGGTGGGGTTCATGCACCCGGATGAAGCTGACATGGAAGCAGCAACGGCAGGGAACCAAGGTCAGACGGGGCAGGCTCGCCGTCGCTGCCTGCCACTGATCTATGCAAACACACCGCCAAGCACAAGAGGGACCCACGTACGTGTCTTCCGTTACATATCCCACCCGGGCAGATGATCTGCCTGCGCGGGGTGGCTGCCTTCCAGCAGAGTACCACTGTACCTACCTCTGCAGTTGCTGGCTTGATCCCACGAGTCGGTGCAGTCTGCGGCGGTTTTCTTTGCTGGGAAAAGCCGTTAGGGCAATGCGGCAAGGCATGGTTGCGTGGAGGAGAACAAAAGACGACCTCGAAGCATCTTCAGGGACGGACGACACTAGGTACCTTGAGAGGCGGGTCTTGAGGCACGAGGGCAGCATTCCCATGGGAAATTTCACACAAGCCCCATAAATGGGATCGAGTGGTCTGCAATCATTGGCCGAGTCGTCGGCACGTGCCTTGCCTTCCACCGACCTGCTGAACCTTACCTGCTGAACGGATGTGAGTACCTTCCTTACCTTGGGTCAGGAAGGTAGAGGACGGGTCACCGGTTGGTCACCTTCCCCACCATCAAGGTTCTTTCTCAATTGGGAGAAAGACCAACAACAGGAAGGCACCCAAAAGCGCTCGCTCTTTCCACATTGTGCCTGTACCTTTGTCGCCTCCCAATTCTCGCGGTCGGCTTCCCTCTCGTTCACCATGCGACCTCCCCACCTCTTCCATTCTGGTGTTCAGACTTCCAACACCCTGATTGTTGCCAGACCTCCAATCTCGACCGAATCCTTGTCACGGTCATTTTGGCCACAACCAAAGCCAACCAACGCAACCATCCCATACTTGCGATCTCACCACGCCAGCGTCTCTTTCCCTTTCTCCTTCCTCAGACAAGTCCCACTCCATCAAGACCACAACGGATGTTCTTCTGCCCGCGAGATTGCTCAGAATTGTGCTTAGAGGCCTTATTCTCCAACGAAACTCGTGGGGTCTACCCTCCACCTCGGCTTCGATCTCCGGGCCGACCTCCTCCTCTATCGTGACATCAATGTCCACACGATGCATTCATCATGCTGCGGGCAACGCCTGGTGTTTCAAACAATTGGCTTATGCTTGCCGCTGGTTTGGAGCTGACCTCGGATGCGGCTGGCCAAAACACACATCGGTCAGCTTCTGGCCTCACGTGACGCATCAGCAAGACATTTCACAAGCTTGCGCCCCAGCGTTTCAATCGACCATGTCTGCAACCATGCATCCATCAGGACTGGCATTGCGGAGTCGGCAGCGGTGATGAGAGCGTCCGCCATGGCCTTTCCAGAGGCAAGTCTTCTCATGGAGGTCTACCGACTCTTCTTGACCTTTGCAAAGTACCACTTGCGTGCTTGGCGAGGCGGCATGTCAGGGCTCTAGATATAGAGCTGCACGCCTGTGAGATCTGAGGAGGCTTACACTGGGGTATTGTTGCTGACTTACAACACGGTGGACGAGGTTGCGAAGTGTGATGGCTGGGGAGAACAATGACATTTGGATCAGACCAACATGTCAAAAGCAGACACCTATAGCCATATTTCGTATCACTTATGACGCTATAAAAATCTCATTCTCCCACAACAAAAATCGAGCTTCTTGATGGGCACCCCAAGCGTCTCTGGGCGGACTGGCCTCTACTCGCCGTATCTGTCGTTTTTTTCTCCAAGGCTGAAGTTAACAGACGTGCCATAGCGACTATATCTGACACCATCGGTAAATTCGGGCAAATGCGTCTGTTGCCAGTGTCGCTTTCTCCTGATCCATCGCTTCCCATGCCCTCTTCGGCCCGAGTGGCTCTTGCAGTGTCAATTGAGGTGCCTCATGCTGGACAAATACGGCCGACTTTTCTAGAAGAGGTAGACTTGCGCGTATTTGCCAATCCTGGAGGTTGTTTAGCAGAAGTTGGATCTCTTGGTCGGAATACAACACATCCGAACGGAGGGGGTGGTGTGTTTGCCGAATGGCCCGATATGCCAGGAAGACCCCGATGGTATAACTTCTTATGCTCTAGGACCCCTCATAAACAACGCCATGTGGCATTTCCGCTGCAGAGATGATGCCTTGCACAGCGTTGTCCAGGGACAGGGCAGCATTGTTCCTCACATCTCATGCTGTCTCCAATCTTGGGCACAATCTCCTGAGCTATCGCCAAAACCTTCACGTCGTCGCCTTGGTGTCTTTCCTCACACACACCCCAATATTGAAGCCCCAAGACGCGTGGTCACACATTCTCTAATTGGCCGCGCGGTGGACACATACACCCTGACAACTGCCACCTCGTGCAGATTGTAAATAGTTCTCCTCACAACAGTCTTTTTTCACATCATAGACAGTCAGATTCCAGAGAGAACCTCGGCACATCAGAGGCGGGGGCGTGCCGGATCAAGCCACCAAGCTTGCGTTCACATGGAAGCGGGTGTGCGGAACCGAGACCAGATGAGTCGATATATAGAATCTCTGACGGGCTGGATGGGTTTACAAAGCAAAGGAATAAAGTAAGGAGATCTGTGATTTAATCGGTTTCAAGGTTCGTCTCTCTGCCTACAGCCCCTGCCTTTCAACCTCGACGTGTGGGAGCATTGAAAGACTGCTGGTGTCGCTCTGCCTTCTACCTGTCTACCCAATTGGTCAAGCCTCTAGCCTGAGTCGCCATTCACTGGCTCCTTGCATCTGTTGCATCTATTGAGGGTCTCCGTGAAAGCTGCTTGTCGATCAGTCCATCCAAAGAGAGGCAAATGAGGGCTCACGTCGGAGCGATGTCACCTTTGAGCTTGCGCCTCCTTGTGTCCCGAACCCACCTGATCGTCGACGCGTTTTGTCCACAACATTGCTAATCTTGCTCACTGCACCCGTCTTGCAGCCTCTTTCCTGTTGGCTCCCCTCAGTGTTGTAACGCGTTCCACATGCTGATTCTTTTGGTTCATATATTGCTTCCTCCGGCTCTCAACAATTTTGTCTCCGTGCACTGTTTTCTTTGCTCTGAGATGTCGTCGGCGACCGGAAGACGGTCATCGGGGGATGAATGGCTGGGCTTGGTTTAGAGCTCTCCGGTCTCACCAAAGGCTTGGAGAAGCGAGGGAGCACCCCGATACTAGGATGAATATTGGCACCATTCACTTCAGGCCCTCTCAGAGATCGCCAGAGGTTGTAACAGCGTGAGACGTAGCCGGGCGCGGAACAACCTCAATGGTTTATCTCCGAGAACCCTTTACTAGGATTGGCTAACCGCGGTGAAGAAATGCTTTTGATGAGAAAGAGAGCCAAGGAGACTAATTTTCCGGATCAATGTAATCCATATACCGTGTGGCAACTGAGGATTCCTGGAACTTTGGCTTTTGCATGATAAAAGGCCGGGGAGTTGCGGCCATTCGTAGCCTAGAGATTACAAACCTTCCTGAAGATTTGTCAGAATTTCTGCTTTGTCGTTCTTCGACACAAGTCCCTTTGATGTAGTCTGGATACATAGAACCAAACACACAAGTCCTCCTTGACATGTCAGATTTGATAATCCAATGCAAAAATCAGCCTTCCAACATTGAATTGGCAGGCCACAAGGCAACAGAAGGGAGCGTCGTAGGCGCTGGTCATGTAGACAGACCTATTTAGCTAGGATCACTGCGTCGGTGGTTAGTTTAGAAGATGAGATGTATGCGGATTGAGAATGCAGAGAAAGGTTGGGTTTTTGAGGGGACGAGGAAGTGTGTTGCAATGTCGGGGTCGAACGCAGCAAAAGCGGATCAAATCGATCAGGGAGACCGATCCTTGATCCCAAGAAAGTTGGCGATGGCAAGGTTCTAGTGGGCTCACCTGGAAATGGCGAAAGACAACTTGGCCGATGTTACATGACAGAATGCTGTCTATACAACATTCTTGATTCATGTAAATATCAAAAGCAACAGTATATGCCAGTCTAAGCTGTAGCTCACGACGTCTCAACTGGCTTTCTTCCGACATTGAGTTTCTGTGTGTCTTCTGCGCCTAGCGACGGCTCTTCAGATACACAGTGTCGGTCAATTTTGAATAACACTGACACAGTCCAATGTTGTAAGGGGTTACTGGTTCAAAAGACCTGCTTCGAGGGCGGGAGACAGCGGGAGCCTGCATGGGTAAATGGTCCCGAGCAGCAAATTGCGGCGACGGTGTGAGCTGAGCAGATGAGCCACTACATTCTGTCAGCATCTTTCAGCTGTGGTATTTCAGGCTTGCTCGGCCAGTCTATTACGCTTATGGGGGACAATTCACTTGTGATGAGCTGTGGGGAAGTGCGCCGTTGTAAAGGCGGCTGCGCCTATTTCTAGCACTGGAAGACCACCATCCAGGAGGCATCTGAGGGAGGGGAGGCAAGTTCGGAGTGACTGCTGAATAACCAATCCACTGTACTGCAAA